ACATAAAGAAGACGATAGATATTAGAAAATTATTCAAAATATCAAAAATCTTCATAAAGGTTTCTAAACTCATTAAATTACTAAGTGAAGGTCAAAGCAATAGTTTGTATTTCGGCAATCATCTCTTTCACTGTTTAAGCCATAAAAATTACCAATCTTGAAAAATGGGAAGTTTTTCTAACCATCCGAATAATCTTTTTTCTTTATATTTTCTTCATTCTACAGACAGAGAGACAGACACGGAACGAGAGAGAGACAGACAGACACACAGACAGTGAGTGAGATCTGTGACTAAACAGGAAAACATTTCATTCATGAATCTTCAATGTTTTTCAGTACATTTATGCTATTTGACAGTAAAGACGCTCATGATATTCAACATTGTTATTAAATCACTTTGTCCTATTTTATTACAATATCTATCAGGCAATATGCAGCTGTTTAAGTAATGTCAAAAGGTGATATATAAAAGTTTAAGTTCGTAATAAAAATATGTATGCGTCTGTATTTACATAGATCTACAAGCACGTACACACACATATAATATAAACATCATATATATATTCTTACGTGTAATTTGTTTTATTCATCCAAATCTATAGATCTCCGTGTCTATTTGAATAGAACAAAAGAGGTTCTTATTGTATGCAATCCGAACAAAATCAGTGATGGGGGGTCTTAACAGACGTCTAAAATAAAAGTGTCACGCCAGTAAACATCGAAATTCAACGAAGTGCTGCAACAAATAATTCGCAGATAATAGAAAAGCTAATTCTCTATCAAATTCACTTTCAATAATAACATCCAAACTCGCACTGAGTCGGAAGTAAACAGGAAAATCGCATGAGCTGTATTGAAAAAATCATATCAGGTTAATGTTGTTTAAATAAATTCATAAAAATATAACAAAATAGTCGTGTTTATTTCGATGGATAATCAATTAGTGCTACACTTTGAACTGAAAAGACTTATCCATGTTGAACTGTCAGCTACCAGTATCGCTTTAACAACCTTAAAATCTCTCATATATTTAAAATATGTAAATATATATACATACATACATACATACATATATATATATATATATTTGTATAAAAAATAATTCCAAGAGGATAGAATCCCGGTAGAACTCAATGTCCAGGACAGAGTAAGAATATAATAAAAGGCTTAAACCCTAGTGTTTAAGCCTTTTTTATTATATATATATATATATATATATATATATATATATATATATATATATATATATATATAATAATAATAAAGGGAACGAACAGTAAGGTATATAATCCGGTGTCCTTATTAATATTTTTTATTTTTACAACACAGTGCTCAATGCAAATTTTACTGAGCATAAATATTATAAATTTACTAATTTAAAAATATGGTTCCATCTCTACTCACGAATTACCATGTTTCAAAAACAGAAACTAAAAACTTTAAATTCAATTATAGAATTAAATTAAAGTCCCTAGTCCAGTTTCATTTCAATTTTGGAATAACTTATTTTTGAAATTTTCGACGACTTCGGAACCTCCTTCAACTCTTCTGAACGATTTTAATTTGTTGAATGCTGCCATAATCCTTGCCTTCAGTTAATCTTTGGTCTTACTAGGAGTTTTGTTGGTCTCTCACTCAACTGCGCCCCACACATAATAATCAAGGAGGTTGCGGTCTCAGGAGTAAGGTGGACAGATGTAAGGGGTGATGTAATCGCAGAAATTGTCTGACAGCCATGACTTGATTCTCCTGCTTGTGTAACATAGTGCAGAGTCCTGTAACCTGACATAGGGTCTTTCAGAAGCCACCCTTTTGCCCCTGGGCAGCATTACCTCCTCAAGGCACGTGTTGTAGGGATCTGTGTTGAGTCTGAGGTCCTATGGGAAGGTGAGGCATAACGTCGCCATCACTAGTGAACACACCAAACACCTTTCTAATCACCATTAGTCTCATCCAACTCTTTCTGAATCCTTTGCACTGTCCTCAGATTGACACTCAAACACTCTGAAATGTTCGTATTGGAGATTCCGGCGCGAATGCCAAGCATTACAGCATACAGTCTCCAAATTTTTGGTGCTCTTTTTCTCACAGACGGTGCCCAACTGACCCTACTATACTATGCAGTAGATTAAATCAAAAACAAACAACGCGCATGGACGAAATTAAAAATATAAAATGGCGAACAATTTACCCATCGCACCATATATATATATATATATATATATATATATATATATATATATAGTATCGAAAGCTTCTGTCTATCCATTTTTATTAACTTTTTCAAATTTCCGAATTAGGTGTTTTAAGTAATCGGTAAATTTAAGTTAATTTTTTCCCCGAGTACTTTCGAATGTTGCTACATTCGTCTGCAAGGATTTCGTTTTTATGTAAGTGTGTGAGGTCAATTCTGGTTGCATAAAAACACGAAAACGAAATCCTTGAAAACTGTCGTAAAATCTTGGGAAAAAATGAACTTTGGTAAATTTACTGATTATATCAAACAACTAATTCAAAAATTTTTTTAAATTAATAAAAAATTGAATAAACGAAATATATATATATATATATATATATATATATATATATATAGAATATATATTATTCATCGCAACATGTGTGAAAGAATTATTGCTACCTAAATACACCTTATTTAACATGTGTGTGTCTGTGTGTGTTTCTGTGTGTGTGTCTGTGTGTTTGAGAGAGGGGAAAGTAAAGTAAAAAAAACTAATATCTTAAAAGTGACTAAATTTCAGCAGATACAAGGCTCAAGAGACACCAAAGCTAGAGGGTTGCTGAACGAGGTGTATGATATGAAGGTGATAGAAAGAAGTGAATACCATGAGGATAAGGAGGATTGATAACGATTGAACCGTGAATTAAAGATTCTTTATCGACCTGGCCCACACTTAATTACTCTAGCAAAATGAACTAATTGATTAATACTAGCAAGCATTCAAATACAGATGAGGCTTAGTAACAGACATAAACTCTCACTCTCTCACTCTCTCTCACTCTCTCACTCTCTCTCTATGTCATGTTCATTCAGAAGGTAACCGATCATAAATCTCCACAGATTCCGTTTCTTAATATATTTGAATTTGCTATTAATTCTTGGCAAAAAGAATTCTGAATTAAATAACCTTATTCAATTCGGAATAATCCCTCTCCTAGACTGGGTGTCACACAAGACTAGTAAGCCCAATCTTTCCTGCTATTTAATCTGTAGCTGAGAGAATAAGAAATGGATTCATGCCTTTCTTAAAAAGGCGTTAGTGAACGCATCAGACAAGGGCGTGGTTTGAACTCGGTTCGTCGATTTTACTTTTCACGGTGATAACCATTACACTATGCACTAACATTGCCATCTTTGACATGGCATTTTAAATAAATAGGATATTACACTTTATCCGAAAGTTTTTACTGTCGACTTCTCTTATTTCAGAGTATTTTATTCTCGTTCCTTTGGTAGGTAGCAAAACAGATCCTTGGATGAAACATTCGTCCACATAGGTTACAAATGATCGCTGAAGCTAATCCCACTTGTATCTGGTGACCCTTTGCTCTGTGCTACTTGTCCCGTTTTTCTTGCTCGAAGATATTTTGAGCAAAGCAGTTTGATGCTAATTTTTTGTTAGTTCTTTGTTTTACAGGCTTTGATTTGTTTTTTTAACGGCATATCAACTTTTTATGGGTCATTTAATGCTGAAATTTAATTTTCATGAGGGCTTTGAAATAATAAACATATGATATATGTTATTCTACTTTCTCAATTGAATAAATGATAGATGATACTCAGATTTTGTGCATATACACGTTTGTGTGAACCTGGGAACAACAGCAACTAAGTGGTAGTTTTACGTCCCTCAGAACCTCCACTCTGCTGATCAGAGGCCTTGCTGTTCTGCAGGTGGAGGTTTTCATAGTCTGTTTCTACTGGCCCTTAAAGCGACGCATAAGGTGGTTAGCTTCATGCGAAGTTAGGGTCTTTCCATCAAAGGTGGTGTTTGATTCTGGTGGCTTCGGTTCAGTTGATTTGAGCCTTCCTAAGGACAGTTGGACATATAATCCTTTTAGTTAATGTTCATAACTGATTCGAGCTTTTGCTGATGGAATCGCTCAAGTTTCTTAATGATTCACCTATACAGAGTCCAAGTCTCGCACTCGTAAGGTTATGTTGAAATGGCGCCAGTTTCATATACTGTGAGCTTAGATTTTAGACTTTTGCTTCCAAAGACACAATGGTAAAGTTTTAAAAAAAAAACGTGGCCAGGACATATTCAGTTTTCTATATCCTTCATGATGTTACACTACATTGAGGGAATATTTGTAATACATGGAAAATGATCCACCAGTACTTGTGGAAATGGTGTGATTACAATCTGAAAGCAGGTTGAGATGGAATTTTGGATTTCCGGATATTGACGGATACACCAAAATTATATATAATAAAATAGTCTTTATTGAAGTTGGTAACAGAGCCATTTCTTCGTGTGAATGAATTGGTGAAACATTATCATTGGCATATTATGATTCGGTTGTTTTAGTAGTATTGGAGAGTTTTTTTCGCACGGAGATTATGCAAATTGAAAGGTACCCAATCGACACTTAAAAATGTACGTTTTTACTATAGAAGTGATATTATCAGTTAAATACTATATTGTGTGCACCTCAGTTTTGAGTACTAAAATTTATTGTGCATCAACATTTAGCATTTAGTTGAAAAATTCAACTAAATAGCTTTAAAGTTTTATTGAATTGTTTTTTTACGGCTTGCCAACCTTTTGCATTTTATTCAAAACTAGAAAATATTTCTAGATTGTAAGATTTTTTAAAGATAATAATGCTTTACAGATACAATTCCTACTAATTAATCCATAGCTGGGGGATGAATTTATACCTTTCCCTAGTATATTTGCGAGTAAACGAATATAACGACCCCGGCTAGTATCAGTGACGAATTATCCGTTATCTACTGCACCACCCGCACATCCCAGCTTACAGCACCTGGTGTTCCCAAAAGGTCACACATCTTAGTACTGACCAGACTCGATGTTGCTTATCTCCGGTGATCGTAGGAAAACCGGCCTTTCAACATGATATGGCTGTAAGCCCTTAAAGTTAAAGGAGTACATATATTACGCTAATACTACATACACCCCAACCTCTTTAATATGATACCCTTTGGACTAGGCCACTGCCGGATCACAGTAAATGCCGGCTGACATTAATCACACCTAAAAAATACCCCTTTTTTTCTATCTGCCGTGTCCCTTCAGGATGTTGGCGGTCTTGGTCCTCCGCAACTTCCTGCCATTTGTTCCGCCATCTATTTACTCCCTAGGTAGGTTATGCGTTGTTTCCCTTGTCCCTTTTTTGCCATCAATCTGTCCTGTGAGTATCAAATTTTCTAAGCCCTCTTTTAATATGTGCCCAACTGACTCGACTAAAAGAAGCTTAAAATCAAAATATAATATATACTTACTATCCTGAATGGGTAAATATACAGCTGTATGTAAGAAATTAACAAAACCATATCATCAAAATACGCTGTTGCTGTCGGCAGCTGCGGAAAGATGTAAACAACATGTGGCGCTGCCTTCGCAGTCGTTCAACGAACTATTGGCGGTTGACTAAAATAAGTACCGAACCATACGAGTTGCAGAGCCATGACAGTTGCCGGGCCATAGAAGTACTCGGATCACGGAGTGGGTGATTATACAGGTCGGACAGTACTACTAGGAGATGCATTTTTCTATTGCTGCTCACAAATAAAACAGTACATTGGCTATAAAGAAATCAGAGGATCTATTGAAGTGCTGGATTTGTGATGTTTTCCAATACAAAATTACCTGAGGAAAAATAACTGCTGTTCAAGTGTCGGCTTTTGTTTAACAACACGGACTACCGCTATATGAAGATAATAGCTCCTCTTTATTTCTGTTTTCAATTGTTCATTATTCTCCATTCTTTTGTTGTCTCTTCTGACAAAATAAAAATGTTTAAGTAATTTTGAGCTTGCTACTTTCTTATTAAAAACTCCATTTAAATGTGAATTATGTGCATGTGAATTTATTTTTTTAACGAAACGAGAGATTTGGTGCTCTTAGGTAAAGAGTCAAGTTATTGCATTTTTTATAATTGAATATCATCATAACAACACAATAATGTGTCATATAAAACCAAAAAGTAATTAAGATGGAAAGAAAAAGAAAGATGCCAAGAACATACAATTGAGTAATGTCACGCATAAACTTGGATCATCAAAAAGAGAAATACGCGAATTTTCACTACAATATTTTACTATGATACATTAATTTATTTTACAGAGGTTCACTCCATTGTAGTTTAATTCGTCACTGATACTTCAGCTGTATTGTAAATAATAATAATAATAATAATAATAATAATAATAGTCCTCGAATTGATTGAAAAATGGTTCAATAGGCTGATCGGAAAGATTCCTGGTAGCCCATGCCTTAAACAAATACAAAAAATTGTACTCACAAGTACAGTTCGCACATGATGAATGACTTTACGTCATGAAGCCATTTCTGACCTTAGGTCTCTGGTTGGGAGCCGGAAGGAAATGTGTATAAAATAGAAATCAAATAATAAAATAATTTAAAAAAAAACTCTCAACATGAAGTCTGGTCAAATTTGGAAAAGTGATTTGGACCGTAATTTTTCAGCGCCCCCATTTTAGATAGATAGATAGATAGATAGATAGATAGATAGATAGATAGATAGTGTAAACATAGCAATCACCAGTGAAACTGGTAGTCAAGATGCAATGTTGATCCCTATGCCCACACCGTTTATATCTATCAATTTCTCTCTCTCTCCCTCTATCACTCTCTTTCTTTTTTACATACATACATATATGTGTGTAGGTATATACATATACCTTTTAACGTATGCGATATTTTTGAGAGAAAAGTTCTTAATATCAGGACAGTGCGAATGTAATTATAAGTAGTTTGAGTTTAGGTATCAACACTGAATGACGCCAGTCTGTTTCATGTTTAAAGGCAGTTGTCCCATGACTAACAATTTAAGCATAAAGATTATCGCTGTTCAATGTTGATATCTATGTCCACACTACTTAATACCGGAATCTGAATTTCTTTGTAGGAGAAACCACTATTCTTCCTGACTACTCAGTCACGGAATGCTTTAACAATTTGGCAAGGGTAATTTACCTTCATTAAAAATTCACATCACTATTTTGGATACCTCAAAACCCATATCTGCTGATTTTGTTTTCGTATACGGAATATAAACGAAGTAATGTCAAAGAAAATAATGAATTTTATTTCTAATGTGACATTATTGTTGCAAACGTTATATTTTTTCTGGGTACACTTGTTTGAGGAAACATAACTTTTACTTTTTGTTTCTTTTTTGGTGTAAGAAGGCAGAATTGTTCAATTTTCTGGTCTAGATAACAGAATATGTGTGTATGTGTACGTGTGGGTGTAGTTATGTTACTGTAAATTTTATTAGTAATAATACGATTCTGTTTTGAATACATTTAGAGAAGTCGTTGCTTATATATTGATAAATTTCAATGATAAGTCAGTAACTGACATTTCAGTGGGTATCAGCTGTCATTCTACATCATAGCGATATAATTCTACTTAGAAAATTAATGAGGTCTTAACGTTTATATTTCTCAACACGTGTGAAGATAATTGCAGCAAAGTAGATACAAGCGGTCATCGGCGGCATTATCGATGCACTCAGCTGTTCGAAGGAGCCATCAGTTTTTTTTTTAGATTAAGACGAATAGATCAGTAGCTTAATGGTCATTGAGTCAATACAATAAAAAAGCAAACTGGTAGCATCACGCTTAATAAACGCTTTTTAAGACCTACTTGTAAAAGAAACCTTCTGTGAAGATTTGGCATTGTGAAGGCTTCGATATTTAAATTTGGATCTTGTACCAACAGACGAGGGAAAGTGCAATGGAAATTTCCAAAATGGCATAAGAACAGAGAAACAACTGACATTTTTGGGACTCTTTATAAGGAAACAAAGCTTAGAGAATGTAACACTCACAAGACAAACCGAAGGTCAGAAAAGGAATCGGAAACAGTGAGTACCCTATTTAATAGATTTAAGTGAATGCCAAGCAAGAACAAAGAAATTAAAGTGACAAAGATTACTTCTTTTTCTTCTTGTCAGCGCTACGCCCCTTCAGGACGATAACAATCATGGCTCTTCACAGTTTCCTGTCTTTTGTAGCTTTTAATATTTTTTTCTTTTTGTTATCTCTCCTAAACCTTGTTCTGCGATCCTAAACCTGTACCTCTGTTCCTCTTACCTTCACTCTGTCCTATGAGTATCAAATTTTCCAAGCCCTCTTTCCTCGTTATGCGCTTTATAAATTTCAACTCTCTCTTTTTGATGCTTAGTGTTCTTTTGACTTCCATTTTTTTCTAAAACTTCGTCGTTGCTCACATGTTCGGTCCATGTGATTCTCAGCACACTTCTGTTGCTTCAAGCCTCTTCTTCATTCTTTTAAATCTTTTCACTCCATGCAAAGCAGTAAAGCCACTAAGGCACAGTGGTTTACTGAGTGAAAAAGAATAAGTAAAATAAAACCATTGTTAAGGAGTGTATACAACAAAAGAAGAGGAATCAAGAAGACAGTAGATAACGATTAACGGTGCATTTAAATTTTTGAAGATCAAAGTTGGCTGGAAAATAAAAAAAACAAGAAGAATTTCACAAGCGAGACGTGCGAGTGAAGAGACAATTAGCATATAAATTACGGCTACATCTAGCCAACTCGATTGTAAATTGATGAGACTGCACTTAAATTCATAAAGTCTAGGTACCATAGCGAAAAACTAATCCGAAAAATTACCATGAAAATATTTATAGAAAAGGCACGGAGAGGAAATGTTATGGTGCTGGGAAAGTGACTGAAGCCGAGATGCCAGATCAAAACCAATAACATTGCAGTTTCTTCTTTGGATTTTATCAAGAATATCTAAATATAGAACTAGACCATATGTGGTCACAATATTCAAAGCATAGACGAATGGTAGACTTGTAAATATGTTAAACGGATTCTGGAGAGAAAAATTGTCTAGTACGACACAATACACCAACTGTCTTTGCAACAGACCTAGCAACCGATTCAATATAATCTTTCCACTTTATATCAGCAGAAAATGTTAACCCGAGAAGAGGCAACGAGACACTCTCCTGGAGGTTAGCATCAGCCATACAGATTGAAGGCAGACAGGAGTCATTCAGGTTATATAGTGCAGTTTCGTTTTGGCAGTGTTAAAATTAACAAGTAAAAAGAAACATACTTTACTAAGTAAAGTACATTACTTAGAGAAACAAATGTCAAGAAGTTGTGAAAAGCCATCATTGCTCACGTTCTGAAAGGATATAACACATAGAAAAATAATATTTTATACAGTAACTCAGTTCCGGCTAGTTAGAGTTAAAATTGAAAACAATAGTCTCTTTTCTTCTTTTAATTCAGAAAAAAAAATCCTTCATTTTAGAAACTCGTCGATAAAAGAAAAATGTATATTTTCTGAATATCTAATGAAAATTATACTATATGCGTATTGATATATAATAGCTTAATGCTTCGTCATGTCTATATTATAGATAATTACGATAATTGCCGACCAGATTAAAGCGTCTAACATTTCGAAACATTTGCCTGAAGTCAAAGAGAAAATGGTCTGGCTATAATTTTATATGCAAGCGAGGAAAACATAACTAAAAAGTATAAAATGTAGGAAAGGAAAGACAAATCTGCGGCCAATAGAATCGATTTTGGCCAATATGCTTTGGCAAAGCCGATCTGGCTGCTAAAAGAGTGCTATCCTTGTTATCACAACATTTCTTGTAAAAGCAGCAAACAAATGTTGATGTTGGGAGATACAAGATCGCGTGCATCCTATCGAACGGCAGATGTGTGCCAAAAAAGAAAGGTTATGGTTTATTAAAGGCATCAAGATCAACAGCGCTCAGAATTGTCATTATTATATTCTACAGTTGGCATACCTAAGTTGTTAGTGGTTTAGATGTTATATGTGCGAAACCACCACATGTGCGCTGAGAATTAATAGCTTGCAAG